CAGTAGCAGTAGCAGTAGCAGTAGCAGTAGCAGTAGTAGTAGTAGTAGTAGTAGTAGTAGTAGTAGTAGTAGTAGCAGTAGCAGTAGCAGTAACAGTAGCAGTAGCAGTAGTAGTAGTAGTAGTAGTAGTAGTAGTAGTAGTAGTAGTAGCAGTAGTAGTAGTAGTAGTAGTAGTAGTAGTAGTAGTGGTAGTGGTAGTAGTAGTGGTAGTGGTAGCAGCAGAGGCAGTAGCAGTAGCAGTAGCAGTAGCAGTCGTAGTAGTAGTCGTAGGATGAGGAGCAGGAGCCGGAGGAGGAGGAGGAGGAGGACCAGTGGAAACCCACGGGTCATCAACGATGTTGGAATAAGCCCTCCTTCCAAGCTCCCTCTTCATAGGCTCCTACAGCGGTTCATGTCCATTGAGGGGAATTGACTCGCTGGAAGACAACTATTTGAAGACCGTGACGCATGGCAACGCATTGTTCTCGGGATTCCAACGCCACAGATCAACCTGACTGTTGCGCCGTGGCGTTCTTGAGTCGTGCCAGAGTACCACTCCTGGGATTTCAACACCGCGAACCAGCGTAACTGTTGCACCCTTATAATTCTGAGTCCTTCCAAACACCACTTCTGGTTTGTTGTTCACGGGAATCCGTGACACCCTTTCATATTTTGAAGCGAATATGCGCGGCGCTAAGGCGAGAGCCACATGTTGACAAGGAACCGCCCTCAATCCGCGAATGTCTGGCACATGGTTGAGAGCCACACTTATAAAAACACTCGCCCTCCATCCGTGAGACTCTTGCACAATTGATGCACGAATGTGCGCGGCGCTCAGGCGAGAACCACATGTTGAAAAGGAACCGCCATCAATCCGTGAAATTCTGGCACATTTTTGAAACGAATGTGCGCGGCGCTGGGGCGAAACATACATTTTGAAACCGAGTCGGAGGATGAGGCGGAATCGGATGCGGAGGCGGCAGAGGCGGAGGAGGAGGAAGAGGAGGAGGAGGAGGAGGAAGAAGAAGAGGAGACAGATGAGGACGAGGAGGAGCAGGAGGAGGAGGAAAGGAGGAACCGGAGGAGGTGGCGGCGGAGGAGGAGGAGGTGGGGGAACAGAGTAAACCCAAGACTCATCAATGATTTTGGAATCCACCCTCTTTTCAAGCTCTCTCTCCGTATGCACCTACGCAGGTTCATCTCCACTGAGGGAACTGCGCCGTTGGGGGACAACCGTGTGAAAATCTTGACGCGTGCCAAAACACCAGGGTTTCAACATCAGGAGTCAGTCTGACTGTTGCGTCTACACGATCCAGAATCGTGCCAGAACGCCATTCCTGGGACTTCAACACAGCGAATCGACGTCACTGTTGCGCCCTGGCAGTCCTGAGCCGTTCCGAAACAGCATTTTTGAAATGTTAGCCATGCAAATCCTTGGAGCTCTTGCAATTTCTAAAGACGAATGTGCGCGGCGCTGAGGCGAGAGCCTCATATTGAAACGGAATTGCCTTCAATCCGCGAAGTTCTTGTATATTTTAAGACGAGTGTGCGCCACGTTAGGGCGAGAGCCACACTTCGAAAAACACCCGCCTCCATCCGTGAAGCTCCTGCAATTTGTTAAGGACGAGTGTGCGCGACGCTAAGGTGAGATTCACATTTTGAAGACCATCTGCCCTGAATCCGTGAAGCTTTTGCATTTTTGTGAAACATGTTCGCGGCGCTAAGGCGAGTGTTACGTTTTGAAAACGACCCGCCCTCAATCCGTGAAGCTCTTTCAAATGTAAGGAAACGAATGTGCGCGGCGCTAAGGCGAGAACCGCATTTTGAAAACGACCCGCCCTCAATCCGTGAAGCTCTTGCAATGTTTTGCAACGAATTTGCGCGGCGCTAAAGCGAGAGCCACATGTTGGAAACGACCCGCCCTCCATCCGTGAAAGTGTTTTTCCATTTTTTAATTTCAGGGTCACAACTGGTGACGAAGTCTCACGGGAAACGCCCGGCCCGCCCTAAAAAATTGCTTCGGGGTGCGACAGTGTGAGGAGGAGGAGGAGGAAGAGGAGGAGGAGGAGGAGGAGGAGGAGGAGGAGGAGGAGGAGGAGGAGTGTGAGGAGGAGGAGGAGGAACAGGATGAGGAACAGGAGGAGGAACAGGAGGAGGCAGAGTGCCGGAGAAATTTGGCGGCGCACCCTCGCGTTTTGTGTCTAGCCGCGCCGCTCCAGCCGCGCGCCCGCAGGCGTGGAAGGCAGAGCGCGCGGGGAAAAACTTCCAGGCGCCAGGAGCGCCGGGGCGGATCGATGAAAGGGGGGAGGAGGGAAGAGGAGGAGGAAGAGGAGGAAAAGGAGGAGGAGGAGGAGGAGGAAGAGCAGGAGGAGGAGGAGGAGGAGGAGGAGGGGGACCAGAGCAAACCCAAGACTCATCAATGATTCTGGAATCCACTCTCCTTCTAAGCTCCCTCTCCGTATGCCCCTACGCAGGTTCATCTCCACTGAGGGAACTGCGCCGTTGGGGGACGACCGTGTGAAAATCTTGCCGCGTGCCAAAACACGAGGATTTCAACACCAGGAGTCAGTCTGACTGTCGCGTCTTCACGATCCAGAATCGTGCCAGAACGCCGTTCGTGGGACTTCGCCACCACGAATCAACGTCAATGTTGCGCCCTGCCAGTATTGAACCGTTCCAAAACAGCATTTTTGAAATGTTAGCCATGCGCATCCTTGGAGCTCTTGCAATTACTTAAGACGAATGATGTGCGCGGCGCTGAGGCAAGAGCCACATATTGAAAAGGAACCGCCCTCAATCCGCGAAGCTCTTGTACATTTTAAGACGGGTGTGCGCGGCGCTAGGGCGAGAGCCACACCTTGAAAAACACCCGCCCTCTATCCGTGAAGCTCCTGTGATTTGTTAAGAACGAATGTGTGCGGCGCTCAGGCGAGAGCCACATTTTGAAAACCACCCGCCCTCAATCCGTGAATTTCGCGCAAATTCAAAGGGATGCGCGGTGCTAGGCGAGAGCCACATTTTGAAAACTACTTGTCCTCAATCTGTGAAGATCCTGCAATTTTTTACAGGGAATGTGCGCGGCGCTCAGGCCAGAACCACATTGTGAAAACCACCCGCCCTCCACCTGTGAAACTGTTGCCAGTTTTAAAGCGCCAGAGTCATAAGTGACGAGGAAGTCTTAGGCGCCCCGCCTGGCCCGCCCTTTAGACCGGCCTTGGGGTGCGACAGTAAGGAAATGTAGTGGATGATGATGATGATGATGATGATGATGATGATGATGATGATGATGATGATGATGATGATGATGATGATGATGATGATGATGGCGATGATGATGATGATGATGATGATGATGATGATGATGATGATGATGATGATGATGATGATGATGATGATGATGATGATGATGATGAGGATGATGATGATGATAATGAGGATGAGGATAATGAGGATGATGATGATGATGTCGATGATAATAATGAGGATTCTGATGATGAGGAGGATGAAGAGGAGACAGCGCATGTGAGGCCGCTGCCTGCTGGAGGCGTCAGTAGCCTCTGCGCTCGACTACCACCTTTCGTAGCGGGTGACAGGAAGTGGGCCGCCACCTGTTGACCAACGAACAAGCGACACCACCCAACCTGCGGCCCTCCATGTTGCGCTACGGTCCATCGGGGGTTCTAGCGCATACCACGTAAAAGCCCACGCCAGATTTTCTGGTAAACGCTAAGCCCCGTGGGTCCTTAGTTGGGGTGGTGTCGTGTGTTTTCTGGTCCACACATACACGAGGAGCATGTCAGTTCCGACGGAGCCAAGCGCGTTTCCGTTGCCGTAACTCACTCGCGACTATTCGAGGACTCGCGCCCAGAACGTGCCGCATGATTCGAGAGCGCTCCCTCGAGAACGCCCGAGGCTGTGGCATGCCCGCCCCCTGTTTGGCCGTCTCGCGGGTCCTGGTATTGGGGCATACGTGCCACTTGGTCCACAAATCTGGGACCGCTGGCACATCCTTGCGTGCCTGGATTGTGAGCGCCGCTGTTAGCTCGGCCTCGACACGTCATAGAGCGTCCGTCTCGAAGGGACAAGAGAGGGGGAGGTTTGAAGTAGGGCACCCCTGGCCACCTCGTATTAAGCCCTCGTAGAAAGCCTCTCTTCCCATTCTGTCCCCACTTTTGTGACTAGCGGCCACTGCACATTGCATTACTCGCCCCCCCGCCTTCCTTCCCCTCCGGTCCCCTCCCCCTCCCCTCTCCCGTTCTCTCCCCCCTCCCCCCTCCGCTTCCCCCCCTCCGCTTCCCTCTCACCCCTTCCGTTTGCCTTCGGAGGTGTCGGACAGGGTCGGGAGAGGGGAAGCACCCACCACCGGGCCTCTGCGGGCACGCCTGGGCCCAGGCACTGATGGATGTCGGCCCGTCCCCGCCGGGCCACGAGGGCAGTGCTTGCCACGGCCTAGGCCCCGAGTGGGCCGCTGGAGGCCTGGCGGTGGGCAGCTCTCTTCCCTGTCGGAGGCCCAGGCATGGCGCCAACACCGATCGCCAATTCCAACACTCATATCGGTCGTGGGAAGTGGGTATTTTTGGAGTCCCAGATTCCAGTCTACTTTGAGCGCCTTCCTACTTCAATGATCGAGTGGCTTCGTCTTGTCCATCCTCTTTTTTATGGGGCGAGCGGACACCCAATCTACTTTCGATACCTTCCTACTTCATGTTTCTACCTACTTCTTCCGACCGATGGGATCTACACCCCTTCCTACTTCATGTTTCCACCTAGTCTAAATACCTCTACGACCACTCTTCGGGTGATAAGGAGGTTCGAGGGGGGGAGAAAGATACAACTGACGGCAACTGCGTGGTGACGACGACGATGCTGGTGATGCGCCCTCGAGTTGGCGACGACGCGTGGTGACGATGCTGCGTCGCGATGTGGTCCCACTATGCACACCACCAGGACACCATCGAGACACAATCGAACCACCACCAGGACACCATCAGGACACCCATCGGGACACCAATCGGGACACCATGAGAACACCACTTGCGGCACCTATCGAAAAACCACCCTGACACCATCAGGACACGACTCGGGGCACCAATCGGGACACCAATCGGGGCACCAGTCAGGACACCATCAGGTCACCATCGATCTCACTATTGACCTCATTATCGATCTCATTATCGATCTCACTATCGGTCTCACTCGATTGATCCCACCATCGCTCTCACTCGCTCGATCTCACTTTTGATCTCACTCTAGATCTCACTAGTGATCCCATTATCGCTCTCACTACCTATCTCGCTATCGATCTCACCATCGGTCTCACTGTTGATCTCACCACGGGGCACCACGGGGCACCGATGGGACACCGAAGAGACACCATGAGACACCCGCGGGACAACGACGGGACACCGACAGGACACCGACGGGTCAACTGGGCACCAATCGATCTCACTTCCGATCTCACCATCGTTCTTACTATCGATCTCTCTTTCGCTCGATCGCACTATCGATCTCACCATCGGCCTTACTTTCGATTTCCCTACCGGTTTCACTGGCTCGATCTCGCTATCGATCTCCTTCGATAGATATCACTACTGATCTCACTATTGGCCTCACTACTGATCTCACTATAGACCTCACGGATCTCACTATCAACCTCACCGTCGGTCTCATTACGGGGCACAACATGACACCGACGGGGCACCGACGGGATACCCGCGGGACACTGACGGGACACCGACGGGACACCGCGGGACACCATCGGGACATTCGGGGCACCAATCGATCTCATTTTCGATCTCACCATCGTTCTTACTATCGATCTCTCTTTCGCTCGATCGCACTATCGATCTCACTATCGGCCTCACTATCGATCTGACTATCGGTCTCACTACGGGACACCGACGGGACACCGACGGGACACCGACGGGACACCAACGGGACACCGACGGGACACCGACGGGACTCCCGCGGGACACCAACGGGACACCGACGGGACACCGACGGGACACCGACGGGACAGCCACAGGACAACCGCAAAATACCAACGGGACACCAATGGGACACCGACGGGACACCGACAGGACACCACGGCTGGACAACCCGGCCACCGCCCACCGCGGGGGAGAGGCGGACAGCGACGGGACACCACGGCGGGACAACCTGGCCACCGCCCGCCCACCGGGGAGGGAGGATGAGGAGGAGGAGCGGTCAACGGCTAGCCCGCTCACGCAGCTTCGCCTCGCCCGCAACCTATTTACTAGTGAGGGGCTCTCCGCTCCACTTCGATCTCGCCCCCCAACCTGGGATTCCCAGACCTCCGATGTCTTGCTTCTTCGTAGCGCGCCGCATCCTTCCCCAGAGTTCTGGACCCAATCTCTGGAGGCATTGGGTGGGCTTTCGAGGACCTTGGGTCCAGAGGTGGGCCTCAAGAGACCCCAAAACTCAGTAACAACCGCCGCCCCTGGTTTTCTCGTGCCCCTGGAGGGCTGGGTGGGTGCCAAGTTCTGGGTCTCCGAGGAGGAGGAGGAGGAGGATGAGGAGGAGGAGAAGGCGGAGGAGGAGGCGGAGGAGGAGGAGGCGGAGGAGGAGGAGGAGGAGGAGGCGGAGGAGGAGGAGGAGGAGGAGGAGGAGGCGGAGGAGGAGGAGGCGGAGGAGGAGGAGGCGGATGAGGAGGGAGGAGGAGGAGGAGGAGGAGGAGGAGGAGGAGGAGGAGGAGGAGGAGGAGGAGGAGGGGCGGAGGAGGAGGAGGGGTGTGCGCGGTCGAGGAGCGCGGCCGCAGTGGCGGCGCCGCAGCAGCCGCGAAGGCCTGGCGATGCGACTGCGCAGGGGTGGGCCAGAGAGGGTGGGTCAGATGGTGGTCCAGAGGCTGGCCAGCAGGGGGGGAGGATAAGCGAGAATGAGGAGGAGGAGGAGGAGCTGGAGGGATGGGAGGAGGAGGAGGTGGAGGAGGAGGAGGAGGAGTCCAGGGGAGGAGGAGAGGGAGGACGAGGAGTAAAACGACGACGATGATGATGCTGCTGCTGATGATGATGATGATGGTGATGATGATGATGATGATGCTGATGCTGATGCTGATGCTGATGATGATGACGATGATGATGATGATGATGATGATGATGATGATGATGATGATGATGATGATGATGATGATGATGAGGATGATGATCATGATGATGATGATGATGACCGACGACGACGATGATGCTGATGATAACGATGATGATGACGATGATGACGATGATGATGATGATGTTGATGATGATGTTGATGATGATGATGATGATGATGATGATGACGATGACGATGACGATGATGATGATGATGATGATGATGATGATGATGATGATGATGATGATGATGATGATGATGATGATGATGATGATGATGATGATGATGAGTACATGGCGAACCCAGCGTGGTCGGAGCTTAACCTCAGCATCTACGAGCGCGCCCTGATAGAAGTGGCGGGTGACTACTACAGCATGGACATCACATCGGAAAGGGGAGACGCTAGGGCAGCATTCCGGAGTACTCTACGACAAATTCGGGTCCAGCTTGGTATGGCGATCCAGCCAGACCGACAGAAATCATTGAGGCGTTCTTTATGGGATACACTGAAAGCGATGAAGCGTCGTAGACTCCAAAAGCAGATACAACCCTGAAGAAGAACAGGCACCAACAACCATTTACAATTACGAGTTTGAAGGTGAACGGCATGGCCACTCACGACCGACAGGAGTGGCTGGATGGGGGGAGGGAGTTCGATATGAACCGCTTCGGCGACCAAGACAACAATCCGCAGGTACAGGCAGACAGATTGCAGCGGCTCTGGAGCGTGGAAGCCAATGACAAGCTGGACGGGCGCGGGCAGGGATCGCTGGAGTTTTGGGACACATTGCAGGCCAGGGCAAAACTGAAAGGAGGTTCTGCTCCAGGACTCGATGGTATTACCCGGGACGTGTACATGCAGTTGCCATTTCTGGCAGTGGCGACGGTTTACGATCTGCTGTCGAAGTATTCCCTCAGAGGCTCCACCAGTCCATGGTCGTCTTTATGGGAAATATTCGAGTTCGTCGGCATACCGAACACACAAAGATATTCAAACCTACTTCGATTTTAGATGGATTTGCAAATCGGCCGTGCTTCAAAAACTGTACCTGCGAGCTTTGCAGTCGAGATTGCGGACGCAAATTCGCCCTACAAGCGTGCTGTCTTATGGCTTCCGGCCTAAGCATCCGAATCAGATTGAATCGGACTCTTCGGGGAAACCTGCCACTACGCATACATTTGGGGGTTACCATGGGTTACAGCAGTGCAAGATATCAAGACGGCGTTCGATGATATGCCCCATGCGCTGGTCTGTGATGCTTTGACCTCCCAATGGGCCGATTCGCAGGACGTCTGGTTGCACATGCGGGAGCTTTCGCACATGCAGGTTCGCCTCCAACTTCTACTTGCTGGAGCGATTGACTTTTTCGATTTTCACAAAAGGGGGCAAGCATGGGATGCCTCTCGATGTGTTTTTTCTTTTGATGCAGGAAACGGGGCAAATGCACGACACGTATCTCACGCACTCTGGGCGGACAACATTTATTTTCGTTACCAGTGTAGCTATGTTGCAGCACATGGTGGACGGGCTGACGCAGCGCATGAAGAACGGAACCCGGACATCTTCTCAGTCATTGTGTTTCTCTTGGGAGCTACGTTGAAATACATGCTTTGCGGGGCGCTCGAGGGGACGTCGACAGTTGGCTTGACAATGCAAATTGGCACCGACACGGTGGAGTATAGCGAACGCGCGATGCTTGATACATTGGGGTCCCGAGTCGATTGCTTCGGAAACACGTGGAGTAGCTTATACTACAACGTAACGCGCGCAGAGAAGCATTATTTCACTCATTAACACATGTTCTGGAACAAAGTGCTAAGTACCTCTGTGTGCAAGGCTGCGGGCATGGAGGGACACTGACACTGCCGCTGCCGCTGCCGCTGCCGCTGCCGCAGAGCATGGCACCTCACACCTGATATACCCCAAGACCTTCAGAGTTTGGGGATGAAAATGGTACGACGTGCCTTGCGGCTTATGCGAAGAAGCGCGGAAGGACTGGCCGAGTACACCACATCCGCACAGCGAGGCAGCTGGAGGCATGGATACGCAGGCATTCTATCGCATCGTTGGCTGTTCGAGCCTTGAAGGCGGTATCAAGGAAGTCTGGAAAGAGACATGGTTCCAGATTGGGGGCGCGAGGAATCCGACCCAGGAGTTACGGGAGTGCTGGGGGGTAGCGTGGTGGGAAACGTGCCGCGCTCTAGTTCCGTGCAAGAGGCGTAACTTGGGAGTCGCACGTCGCAGAGGAGGATAACAATCACCAGACCGGGACCATCCATTCGTCGCAGCGTGGGGTGCAAGATGGCGAGATGAACAGCGAAAGTCTTGCAGCTGCATCGCAGAACGGATGCGGAATTTTCTAGTTTTATCCAATAGACTATCGGAAGAATGAGCGTTGCCATGATTATCCGTCGACTCCTTCGACAAGGTTCCCGACCTCTGGGGCACAGTGCGATTGGAGGAGACCGTGAACGCGTGCCCTCCCCTATTACATAATCCCCGAGCGTTGCAATGGGGCCAATCTGACAAACTGCTATGGGTGCAAACTGACAACCAGCAGGTTCAGGAACTCTTCTCAGGGATCTCCGTGTGTGAAGTAGTTTCAGTGCGGCCAATTTGTGGTCGTATTGCTAGGCGTCTCCATTGGTTACTCCAGAATGGATGGCGCCCCCGCCTGGACACCGTGCCCTTCGTGGAGTGGGATCCAAGACGGTTCAATTCCATAGCTGACCACTGCGCCAACGTAGCGTTGGACCGGGGGCTCGGCTGGGAGGATTACGACGGAGAGCCGACGCCATGGAGGGCAGTAGTATGTCACGAATCAGATTCTTCAAGCTTACGCCACATCCGCCGACCCCTTGTTTTTTTTTCTGGGGCGATCGCCGGTTTTGGGAGGGGCTCTGTTGGAGGCTCTGTGAGGCGGCCGGAGGGGTTCATGAGTGGTCTGGATGTCATCTTGGTCGATCATTTTTTTTTTTGGTTCTTCTTCCTTTCTCTGGCGCGTCGGGGTCCTCTTGGATTGCCTGTGGGCCTTCTTGGGAGGTCTCAGGGGTCGTTTTGGAGCTCCGGAGCGAGCCCATGGACTTGGGCGCCTCGTGGGTCGTCTTGGCGCCCTTTTGGGGACGTCTTGGGAGCCTCTGGGCCCTGGACGGCAATGCGGGACGACGTCGCGTTCACACTGCGACGCAAAGAAGGGCACCCTGAAATGCAAGACATGCACGGGACGAGCGCCGCGGAGAGACCCTCCGAAACGCCCGGCGGAACCAAGTGACGAGCATTGCGACAAGGCACGGAAGTTGCGAGGAATCTGACCGCTGGGGACGGGATGGATAAGGGGGACGTGGAGGAGGGAGGATGGGGGAGCAGCCAAAGGCGGAGAAGGTGAAAAGTGAGCCAGTGGAGGGAATACGAGACAGAAAGCTGAGAGGGGAGACGGGAGGAGGGGGCGGAAGAGGAGGATGAGAAGGAGCAGGAGAACACGACGAGGACGACAATGGCGGCGACAGACTCGACGGCGTAGGCTGGGCACCTTTTTGGGGCCATCTTGGGGGCTTCGTTGACCGTTGTGGGAGCCTCTGGCGCCGTCGTCGTGAGAATCCTCTCGGGGGCCTGCGGGAGGCAGTTTGGAGGCTTCTGGGGAGCTGTTTTGGGGCAGCTTGGGGCTTTTTTTGGGCTTGTTGGGGGCCTCTTGGGGGCTTCTTGGAGCCTCTTGGAGGCCTCTTGGGGCCTCCTTGGCGCCTTTTGGGGCGGAAGGCTAGAATTTTAGGTTCGTGGTCCCCGTCTGGAGCCTTTCTTGGGCCCCTCTGTGGGCCCTCTTGGACTGTCTGAAGGCCCTCTTGAGCCGTTTTGAGGCGCTCTTGGGCCGTGTTGGGGCCCACTTGGGAGCCTCTCGGGTCGTCTTGATGCCGTCTTGGGGGCTTCTTTCGCCGTCTTGGAGCGTCGGAAGCCCGAAAAAACGCGAAGGCCAAAAACGTTGAAAAAACCAATGGAAATCGACGATTTTGGCCTCTTGGGGCCATCTTGGGAGGCGTCTTGGAAGCTTCTTGGGGCGTCTTGGAGGCATCTGGGGCCATCTGGAGGCCATCTTGACCGTCTTCGAGTGTTTTTTCGGCGACTCGGGGCCCTCTTGGACCGTCTGCAGAGCTTCTTGGGAGCCTCTTCGCTCGTTTGCGGCCCCCCCAGCAGACTCTCTGGAGCGGATGACCCCCCCCGGACCGCGCCGGCGGATCCCGGGGAATCCGGCCGGACCCCCCCCCCCCCCCCTCCAAAACGACCGGACCAGGCTCCGGGGGGAGGGGTTTGGGGAGGGGGGAAGCATCTCACACGCCGATGACCCCAAGGGGTCGGCGGATTTTGCGTCGATGGAGCTGTGCGCCGGCAAGCGTACGGAGCAGCCGGAATAGCAATGCATATTTACAACTCTTCGTCAGAACGGTCACTGTTACGAAGGGCCGTTCGTTATTTGGGATCTATGCGGAACTCGTTCGAAGGCGAGTTCATTTTTTTGGAGTGGGGCTTGGCGGAAGTGATCGCGCGGGGAGGGCAGATGGCGGGATGAGCAGGGCAGCGTTTTGCATTTTAAAGCGCGTAGGGTGGGTGATTGCACCCGGACCCAACAGGATAATAGTAATATGATGAGTATGATGATGATACTGCTGATGTTGATGATTCTGATGCTGACGCTGATGATGACGA